TTCTCAGCTACTGAACGGCCAAAATAAAGGGACATTTCAGACACTATTCTCAGACGAAATGTTTGATTCATGTGAAGCAGCATAGACGTGAACATCGACCAGACAGATGTTTTAGTTGAGAACATATTAGGTTGGGTTATATCTTTGTGGAACCTAATAATTATGAATGCTGGTGTGGGATAATCGCGAATACGACTTGCATCAGGGCAAAATTTTCAACTAAGAAAATCAAGTGAGGTTCTGTGACAACATTATGCCAAAAAGATGGTTGGGAAGTTTGGGCCTAGGTAATGAACAGCCAGTATCGTCTTGCCGGCAGGTGACACAGAAAACACCGCATTCTGTTCAAAACGACAGCATTTCGTCAAACAGAAAACACCAGTGTTGAAAGATCGGAGCGGAACTGACTATGTGATCTTGACTATCTGTTGATGCAATTAAATTTTTATTGACGCTAAATGCAGAATGTGCCAATACAGAAACTTGGGTGACCATGCTTCTGATATAGCTCTTATTATTCAGCTGAGGCAGCAATCACTGTCTGAGATGATATAATGAAAAATGGTAAAGGATCTTCGAAAAAATCGAGTGGACTAGGGACACGAAACCGTTAGCGAAAATTGATACTTACTCAAAAATCCCCGAGTAGTACTTGATTTTTTCCGGAAAATCTCTTCAGTATGTGTATTATATCTAGAACCTTGGCATCCAACTCACTTGAAGGTAATCAGGGCTTCATATATACCACAAACAACTAACGAAATTATGAATCTGTATCTGCATTATTAGTGATCGCTTTGCTGTGTAGTTTAAATTATATTTTTCGTGTCGCTGAATATCTGTTGTTAAGAAACTCCAGAAATAATTTTTTATTAATGATCTCCTTATCAAGGTATGACTAAAATAGGGCTTTGCGCAGAAAATACTTTAAAGAACGTTTGTCTCTCATGCGAATTAGTCAACGTTCTTTGTTTGCTCTAGATGCAGTTCAGAATCATATATCTGTCTACAATTAACTGTCAGCACAAAGTTTATTCACTCGTATAACTAAGAACGCATTTTAGCGAATACCGTTCTTGAATTCTGCCAATTCAATAAACCGTACAGTGGTAGAAATCAGACGACTTCACAAATTTTTGAGCCGTTTATACTAATCGTCTTATTCATGTAAATTCGAAAACATACCATAGCGCAACGTAAACATGTAGACAAAGGTTATTCTAACTTCAAGTCAGATTAGGTTCGTTTCCACTACAAGACAGGCTAATCTCGATCCAACCATTCAGAAATATAAACAAAAACCTTTTGAATTTTCCGTTTAGCATAGTTTGAACCATTCCTATGCCACGCTACATAACGTAGGCCGGTTTTCATATTTTGTGAAAAATATTGTTTTATTCATTTGTTCAATTTTGAAAAACTCGGCAACGTCTGTGGGATTGAAAATCACGGCAGCAAGGACAAGGCTTTACGAGGCTTCGCAAGTAGGTCAAATGGATTATTCGAATCTAGCATAATCCCCTCCTAATTAACTATGCCCTGGAAGTCATCTGGTGGATTCGAGATTGATTGCTTAAAAAACCTTTTTGCTCAGTCAGTTTAGTGTATCAGAAAGGATGGATTTCATACGTTGCGGTGGGCTGAGCGGGTAGATATACCAAAGTGGGAATGCTTCGTTTGGTCATCGGTGATGAATATCCAGTACCGTCCCGTCCACATATGGCACAGCAAACCTGTTTTCTGGTCAAATTGGGACAATTAAACACATGGCTCAAATTGGAATCTTCCTAGTGTTAGTTGTACTAAAGCCGTACCTTTGGTAGCATGGGTTTGCAATAACCAAAGCCGCCAAGTTTCTCACAATTCGGTCCATGAATTATTCAAATCTGCCAAACCCCGCTTGTAATAGATCGTTATTACTCTAATTTAATCTATACTTATCATTAAAATCCCTAGCATTCCACATTTTTTTCATTTTAGACACAGATCAGCAAGTTAACACGTTGACTGCGACTCCCAAAAATAGCCCGTAGTTTGCCATATTGCGTGTACCACATATGGCGCACGTCGCAGTCAAAGTGTTAAGAGAATTGATCAAACTGAATAATTATGGGCCTTCTACTTTCAGCAGGCTTAATGTACGAACTTAAATCACTCCCTTAGACTAGGCCTTTCTTTTCTTTTCATTGAAAGTAGACCCGCGAAGGTTAATTTTCACGAATGATGACTGACGTACGTATCCTAAAAAGACGGCCGTCGCGTTTATATTTGTGTTTAATCTGCACAATGGACTTAAGTATTTACGCTCTTGGTGGCTGCATCAGCAATCATCAATAAAAATTGCTGCACTGACTGTATCTAAGACTCCGGTACTGATGGAAAATTCCAAGAATTTTGTTTATAACGGGCGTTCCTAGTTTTAACTCCTTCTTGATTCCATCTCTACTCTTCCTCTGCATACAGGTCACGAATTTCTTCATAATCTTCCAAGACAGTGAAGGAATTTGTGTGCAGTTCCTTTCTTCCTTTATTTTTTCATAATTTTTCAAAAATATGTATTCACATAACATAAATATACAAATATTTAAAGTGTCGTTCAAGAACCACTAACAAAACCACCGCCGTCCTGCGTGGAGATCTGCATACCTAGAATGCGCTTTCTAAAGATTTAAACGACTAAATTGCAAAACCTCCTAGGCTATGCGATTTAAAAAAAAATGGCATAGAGTATCCAAGATTCTTAAATTCTACGCTAAATACATTTGCGTCGTAGGAGAAAGTGGTGAATTTTGTGCTTTAAAGTAGTTTATGCAGCTGGATTAAACCTCAGGTGGACAGAATCAGTTTTTTTCACATGCAGTTCATTGCATTATTCCCTATTTGCATCGATCAGGCCAATTCAAGTAGAATTTGACTTTACATTCAGAAGGTCTAAAAAGACTCATTTAACTTATAATTATTATATTTTTTGAAATTTATAAGCAGTCGCCAATCAAAAGGCTTGTTCATCTGCTATTTTAATTTTTCGCGTTAAATCTTATTAGCATCTCATTTCTTCATTTGCATTTTAGATATGCAATTTATTACAGAGAGGGTGGCGTACTCCACAGGGATCTTATCAAGGCATTTGGTATAAGATTTAATATCTTTGTGCACGCCACTGCAGGAAAATTTAACATCATTCCACTGTTTTTAAATTTGGGATCAGGACTTGCACTGCTGAGCCTGGTGAGTTGAAAAATAATTTGATTTTACTAAAACATCCGGTACGTGCACCTAAATAATATTTTGTAATGGTTGTACATGTTTCTACACAGTTAGCCAATATCTATGTTAAACAAGTGCATGCTTGTTTGTCCGACTTTATGCAAAATATTTGGTTCCTTAATAGAAAGAAATATTTAACTAGTTTATTGGTTCAGATATTTTAGAAAATTATCGGCATCCGTATGTGACGAATGGAAATGTGGCTGAGGGTTGTCGTGGGCGCGCCATTGCAGTAGTGCTGCTAGGTGGGAGGAAATAGTAGTGGCGTTTTTGCTGACAAATGCATTCATTCCTTACCTGCTGTGATTTTTCCCTCGGGCTTGACCACGCGGGAGGGGTGATGGGCAGATATAAGTGGACGCAATTCGCTACTCCCATAAAACTACTTTCGCATTACAGCCGCTACCACGCTCTACTGTTTGTGTACGCCTACCGTGTACACCCAGCGTCATTTCGCTAATGTCTGTGCTCCTGTAGGAACATCCAAAACGTGTTGATGAATGCCACGTGCTTGTCTAAAAACCAGTGTTCCTCACACCTTCCCCTCATTTCCTTTGAAGCA